AAATCTTCAAGATATTAATTATAATAATTTACCTATGTAAATATTTTGAAGTTCTCTTTTCATATCATTTTTATTATATATTTTTTAAAATTATTATTAATTTATATAATTAAAATTTATTATTATTATATTATATAATTAAAATTTTATTTGCTTATATTTTTTTTAAATTTTTTTAGGGGTTTTGCAAAAGCTTTAAAATGTGTAAAAGAACAAGAATATGATGATGTAATACCACTCTGTACTGAAGTAATCAACAGTTCTGAACCAGATATACTGCCACACAAAATGAAAGTAGTATTGTTACGTGCTACGTTTTACCTTCTATTAGGACAACATGATGCTGCACTAGAAGACTTTGGAACTATTATAAACAATTCTACTGTTTTAAAAGATATAAAAGTGCATGCCTTGATAAAAAGAGCTGCCTTATTTATGCAATTAGAAAATCCAGATAAGAGTTTCTGTGATTTTGAAACTGCTATTGAGCTTGATCCTGAGTGTGGTGACATTTATCATCATAGAGGACATGTAATGACAATTTTTTATGATATAAAAAATTTAAAAAATTTTTTAAATATAACAAAGTGAAACAAAATAAAATTATATATATATTATATATATTAGTAATATTATATTATAATGTAATAATTGATAAAAATGTATTACATGATTATAGGTAAATTTACTCATGGAAAAGATAGATGAAGCCAGAGAAGATTTTAAGAAGGCTGTTGAACTGAATCCTAACTTTGGAGTAGCATATGTACAAAAGTGTTATGCAGATTATCGTTATGGAATGATGGAAAGAAGTAAAGAATTAGTAGAAGAAGCCATGAGAAATTTTGAAAATGCTTTTGAAAAATTCCCAGACTGTCCAGAATGTTATACTCTATATGCACAGGTACGAAATCAATAATTCAAAATTAGTAATAAAAATTTACTATATTATATTATATTATGATATAGATGTTAACGGAATTACAAGAATATCGAAAAGCTGATATTTATTTTGCTAAAGCAATTGAAAAAGATCCATGTAATGCTACAGTTTATGTACATAGAGGTTTATTACATCTACAATGGAATGGTGATGTAGATAAAGCTATTGAATATATTAATAAAGCATTAGAAATGGATGATAAGTGTGAATATGGATATGAAACTTTAGGAACGATTGAAGTTCAAAGGTAAATTGATATTTTAAAGCACATACATATGTCTTTTGATAAGTAAATTTAAATAAATAATAAGAAGTAATAATATTTTTTATATATATATTTCTGAACTATAATTTTTTATTTTTTTAATAGAGGAAATGTAGAGGAAGCGATGAATCTATTTGACAAGGCCTTAGCGTTAGGTCGCACAACAATGGAACTTACACATATTTTCAGTTTGAGAGATGCTGCAAAAACACGGCTCAAGATAAAAGAGAGATTAGGATCAGATGTAATGTTAAATTTTCAAAATATTTCATAAGTTTTTATGAAGCTATTAAACATTGAAATTTCAAATAAAAATGCACGTGGTTACCAGAAATAAGAAGTGAAATTTGATATCTTCTATATGAATATAATTTTATACAAGGTTTTAATAGAAGTTCTGCAATAATCGAGACATTCATTGCTTTTACAGCTATTTATACTATATAGTTTAATGTAGTTGAAGTTATTGAACTTACATAATTTATTTGATTCATGAAATTTGCTTTTTTTATGAGAAAAATTTCAAGTATGAAATAAAAGTTAGTATTATAGTATGAAATTTTTTTCTAATAGTTTCTATAATAACAATTTTTTAAAATTGCATTTACAAAATATTTAGTTTATTTTTACTAGATCTAAGATTCTATTCATAATTATTCATTTTAAAATTTTATGTAATCAATTACTCACTTTTTTCACAAATTTAATATAATGCTATTTAATAATAATATTATTACATTTAAATTGCAAAAGTATCCTAAAAATTTTTTGCTGTATTTAGAAAAATATATTTTATATATATATATACATATATGTATATATGTATGTATATATATATATATATATAAATGTTATGCGATAAAAAAGATGATTAAAAATTCGCATAATTTAATAATAATATTTGTAAAAGTTTACCATTTATTGTAATCATGAATTTAAAACTGTATTTTGTATTATTTTGTATATAAAGCTTATAATTTTTAATCAAGTTATGTATAATTTATATATAAAAATATCAATATTATTGTGTTATATTATTTCCTAAGTTATAAATTTCATTTTGTTGTAACCTAGTTCCTGATGAATTGTGATATTTGTGATTAAATACCATTAAAACTTATAAACTGGAAAAAAATATATTTTATTTATTGATATTAATAAAAAATAATATTTACATAATATATAATTGTTCATAAATGTACATTCAGAATGATTACAAAGTATAAAACTACATTTTAAAAGATTTTATGTAAAAAAATTTTTTTACATAATATACATATATTACTTCATTATAAAACAACAAAGTAATTTTGTACTTTTTAAATATGTATGTTTTTAAACTTCATAGAAGATAGAAGCAAGAGGATATCTTATAAGAAATGCTAATGAACTGCTAATAATCTGAAATAACAATAAATTTTAACACATGTATTAATATATAAATAATGAAAACATAATAGAGTGCAAATTATTAGATTTCACATTTTTATGTTTTTCATATATAAATATGAAAAAATTTGATATTTCGAATAAGTAAATTAGTACTAATTGCATAGTAAATATAAAAATCATTTTTTTACAATATTTTTATCTTTTAATTATAATTAATTTATATATTTTTATAAATATTTAAATATGTATTTGCAAATTTTTTTCTGTTATTTTTATTATTACAAATTTAACATTTGTATCATATTAACATATTTTTAAATTTTTTAATTTCGATTTTGTTTTAATAGAAGAAAAATTTGTGATTATCAATTTTGTTTTTTATTATATAAAATTTAAATTTGTAACAAAACAAAAAATATATTATATAAATATCTACATTATAAATCAAAAAAATTACATATTTTCTACAAAAAAAAAATTTTAGTTGAACATTTAAAAAAAAACACGAAATTCACGATCGTAATTTACAAAAACAATTTCTTTTACATATTTTTTTATAATTTTCTATTTTTCTTAATAATTTGCACATTTCTACGTACATATTTTCAAACTATTTATAAACTATTAACTTCTAATTTCTTACCTGAATTAGCAATAAAATTAATGTAAGTGTAGGTTCTTTCATCGGGCCAGTTCTTATAAGTACATAATTAATTAATGTAAGATTATTACAAGTAATAATACCTTTATCATCTTCTTGCCATTTTATTATGTTTAATTTCCTAAATATCCATGCTATAAATTTACCTATAAAAAAAAGTTATTTCAAATCAAATTGAAAATCATAAATAATCGGAAAAAATATAATATAATATAATTCTCATACCTATAATGCCTATATCTTTTTTATTAAATACTGCAGTACTAATTTCTAATTTATCAGTTTTTTTATTATACCTATAAGTAAATTTTGTATGTAACAATTTTTAAAAATTATTATAGAAATATATATTTGATTTTAAAACTTACTTCGGCAATCTGTGTCTAGGGCATGGTATAAAATGAAACAATTGTGGCACACTATAAAGAAAATTAATTATTTGTGGAATGAAAAAAAGTAAAGTTGTTTTACTGAAATGTCCAATAATACCAACAACAGCAAATGTCATTCCAGATAAATAACAAAAAGTATCACCTACAAATACTTGTGCTGGGTACCTTGAACAAAAGAATAAAATTTTCAAAAAATTAATTTCATTATATACAAATATTTCTTATATATTATCATTCATTATTAAAGCAAAAATATTTTAACAATTGTAAAACAATAATAAAATAAATAATAAATAAAATTAAGGAAATATTCTTAATTAATTATATAAAAAATGAAAATATAAAATAAAAATGTATTAATTCTTTTAATTGATTAAAACGATTTTTTTTTAATTATTACAAAAGATAATAGATTAAATATAAAGAATTTTATATAATTTTATATAATAATCGAATGTAAATTAGAATATAAATTAAATAGGTTAGATATACTTTTTTAAATTACTAAAAATGAAATATTTGTAATATTAAATATTTTAATAATATATTTTAATATTTTAATTTAGATAAAATGATGATCAATTTATAAATTTTATTCTACAATTGAAGAAAAATGAATATTATTTTAAATAAAATATTCGTAATTATACAAAAATTCATGGTTAATATATGTTTAGTTTAATATTAATTTATGCAGCTAACTTCCATTTATTATTATTATTCGTAAATAAAAAATTTTTCATAATTAATTAGTAGTATAAGACGCGTGCGCCTTAAGAGAAATTACAAACGCGCTTGCCAGTGAAATATAGTAAAAGAGATTGCGTAGAAGGAAGCATTTGGACGAATCGGGCGTGGTTTTTCAATTCGTTGCATTCTCGGCAGGCGGTCCAAGTATTTTAATAGAACAATGGAATATTTTTGAATAATAAATTAAATTTGCCAAGAGATGAAAATGTGGCATTATGTTGCGAATAATTTTACAATTAGTAAAATACCAAAAATTGGTTAGAAAATATTCAAAATTTCATGTTTTAAAAAAGTTCTTAATAAGCGATTGAGGCCATTTAAAATTAAATGGCACGTCGGGGAGCAGTGACATCACGATTTAAACGTCACGACGCGAAGGTATTCATATCATTATTAGCGTCAGACTTATTGTTATATTATTGTGAGTTTGTATACAAATTATGTACACCTTGTATTCGAAACATCATTGGAAATTATTTACTAATTAATATTCAAAATTTCAACACAAGGTGAAAACTACATTTTATACACAAATCTTCATGTAATAGAAATTTTTCTGATATATATATGTTTTTTTATTACTTTTATATTTTAAAAATGATTTTTAACTATTAATTATCATTTACATTAAGTGTAATTGTTTACTTACTACAAAAGTGAAAAAAAAAATGTGAATTCTAATTGCTATATGATGTATCATCAGCAAATTCGAACTTCATTTCATACATATATACATACATATTTATGGATGGGCTCTTTTAGCAACAAAAATGTTATGATTAAAGTAAAATTTTTACAAGGCATAAAATGAAAGATTAATAATTTGAAACAAAAAGTAGTGCCATGCAGCCCCGTCTAGATGGGAAACTGGCTTTATTATATACATTATTAGTTCTACAAGTTCTAATTGTTATGATTTATGTTGCTACAACTCCACCTTCTGAATTAACTGTATCCACAACTCATACTTCTGTTACATTTGTGAAATTTGAAGAATCACAAGTAAGATTTAAATTATTTTATTTAATCTATTAAATCTTTTAATCTAAATTCATTTTTAGCATTTTAATTTTATTTACAATCTTGAATATTTATATTAAATTCTAGGAATCAAAAATTCAACAAACTAATTATAAAAAGTTTCCCATCTACCAGACAATCAATGAAGAAATAATATTAAATGAAATCAAGACTTTTACTTTGTTTGAAGTATACAATCATACTATTTGTTGGAAATATGGAGTTGATGAATCAAAAATGAAAGGTAGTGAAGATCTTCAAAAATGTATTTGTATACATGGGTGGCATGGTTCGGATTGTGGTCAACCAGAAGTTGTTTGGAGAGCAATTATGGCATCAAAGCAAAATGTTAAATTAAAACATCGTAAAATAGCTAGACGTATCATTCATACATTTTTTCTACATGAACATAACTCAGCAATTGCAGAAGTGATAGTAGAAGAACTATATAATGTAGTAGATCTTTTTGTAATCTGTGATTTTAGTAATGCAGAAGATAATTTCCATCATAAACTACTTAAAGGTTTATTACAACAGAAACAGAAAAAAATTTTATATATTAATATATCAACGAAGTTACACAAACCATCAAGAATATTATCTAAATATATTTGGGAAAAACTTAAGACTGTAATACGAAATTTAAAAGACGATGATATTTATATAACAACTGAACCAGAACAAATATTAAATTCCAGGGCATTAATGTTCCTCAAGGTATATAATGGATGGCCCCAACCTATTGGTTTTAGATTAAGATGGTCTGTTTATGGATTCTTTTGGCAACATCCACTTAAAACAATGATAACAGTTGGTGCATGTACAATTGGATTAATGCGTGAAGCTTATCAATCAAATTCTATCATGTTGGAACAACTGGAAGGAGATTTAAGTGAAAGAGATAGTCTAGGTCTAGTGATAGGAGATTTAAATCATTATGGAGGGTGGTACTGTTATTTATGTCAGGCACCCGCAAATATTATAACCAGTTTACATAATAAAGTTAAATCTAAAGAAATTCAAATAGAAAAAACTATTGATGTACCATTCATTGAGGACCTAATAGGAAGTGGATTATGGTTAGATGGGAAAACTAATCTCCTAAGAGTCTCTAAATCTCAGGACCTCTATTTTGCGCCTGAAACAATACTTAATAATACATGGAAGTATGACTGGCTAGTAGAAAATTTTTATGCTAAGTTAGACTATTATTGACATATTAGTCACACCTGACTGTGATATTAACTCATACTCAATACTCAATGTAAACTATAATATTGTACTGAATTTATATACTAAAATAATATGTTGAATGAATTATAAATGTTAAATGATTTATATACATATAACTTATAAAGAAAACATATAATTATTTTTTTCTTATTTAATTATATTCCTTCATATTATTATTAAATTAGATTATATTATTTATATTAAGATTTTATTATTTATATATTTATTTACTTAATTTACATATAACTTACCAATTAAATTTTAATAATCCCAATGATGTTGCTATATATGGAAGCATGAAATATAATGAAAATTGATGTGCTTTCCAGAGATCTCCTGATAATTCTATTAGATTAAATAGAAGAATACTAATTGAAATTATTAAGCTTTGTCCAACTTCTAAACCATTTATACCAGCTAATATATTTATAGCATTTGTACAAAATACTGCTAACATCCCCATATATAAATAATAAAATATCCAGAGATCTACTGAGAAACCAAACCATGGTCTTAAGGGTTTTGGCACAATAATTAATGTAGAATTAAAATTAATATAATACACCATCAAAAGTGGTAATGAAGCAATAGTTGGTAATAATAATTTATGGCGCCACCGAAGATCCAAAACATCATCAGCAAAACCCAATAGTAACATACAACAAATTGAAAGTAAACCTGCCAAAAACTCCATAAACTGTAATTGAAATTTGTTAAATTATATCCTATTTATTTTTAAAAAATTTATTAAAAAACTATTTATAAAAATTATTTGTTACCTCATTATGAGGAAAATTTATATCATTAAGAATATATTTTGTAAATGGTATAGGAATAAACAAAAAGAGTGTTATAAGAAAAAGACATCCAGTAACAACACCTAAGGCTTCAGGCCTGTAAATGAATTTATACATATAAATTACCTGTACTTACATTAATATCCACTAGAAGAATAGATGATGTATATAAAAAATGCTATTTTTGATAAATTCACTTACACTTTTTCACCACTCTTTTTATTCATATCAATACCGTATAGGTTAGCTTTAATAAACATATTTTTTATTTTTGGGATTAAACGTATAGTTAAAAAATACATGATAATTGACATAAAAAAATTAATTAAAATTGGAAAAATAAATTTCCAAGTATCTTCATTGTATTTTATATTGAACATTTTTAAAATCTTATAAAAATATTAAACAAATCGGATTACATATAACAAACGGATGATTGACGTGGCCAATTACAAATATAATATATTATATATGTCGTTCTTTAATATATAGTGTAAATATAATAATATTTCTAAAATGATATATAAAAAGATAATAATTTAATGAATATATATTTTATTTTCAAACATACATTAAACACGTTATATTATTTAGAGGGTACTACATAGGTCACATGGTGGTACATCTACATAAGAAGGAGAAAAAATTTCATTCCGATTTGTAAAATTTTAATAACAACAAAACTAACAAAATATTTTTATTTATTTTATCTATTATTTCATTTTATAATATTTAATACTTTTATAGTATTTTGTATTAATGATAGTTCTTTTGATTTTTAGATCTTCAAAATTTTTTATGAATTATATACAATTTTAATAATGGTAAAAATTTGGTTTAAAAATGACATTTTAGTCTTATCAAATAAAATTCATACTTTGATAAAAATTTCTTTTAAATGAATATATAAATTCATTATAAAACAAACATTTTTCTTAGAATACGATTGAGGTAATACAGTGTAACAATTTTAAACATTGTTATTATTTAAATATAATTATTTAATTTATTGTTTTATTTTTAATTTTAATACATAAATTAATTATATTCTCTAATTTTTAATTAAAATTTAATATACATAAAATTCATAATAATGATTTTAATTATGTTTTAATATTGTTTAACCTAAAACTGTCAAAAATAAAATATACTTTTTTCCACAATGAAGAGTGAAATAACATATTAAAAATTATATATACGAAAATCTATATTATTGATTAATAATGAAATTAATATATATATTATATATAATATTGTATATTGTATATAAATTTTTTATTTTTCAATGCAAACTTATTTTTTATACAATTAATTATCTAATTTATAGATGGATAGTGAAAAACAAAAAGATGAGATTATTGCATTGGAAAGTATTTATAATTCAGAAGAATTTTTATATCACAAGGAAGATGATCATTATCAATGTACTTTTATGATATTTATAAATCTTCCAGCAGATTATCATATTATATATAAGAATTCTATACAAGATGAATCTGAACAAAAGATTAAAATCTCTTACTTACCACCATTAAGACTTCATGTTTTTTTACCAAAAAATTATCCTTCTGAGTTACCACCTAAGTTTACTTTATATTCATCTTGGTTACATCTTTCATTATTAACAATATTATGTAAAAAATTGGATAAATTGTGGGAGGAAAACAAAGGACAAGAGATATTATTTACATGGGTAGCTTTTTTACAAGAGACTTTAGAATTCTTAAATATACAAGACAATCTTAATATGAGTTGTGCTTATACACATTATAAAGAAGCTTTAGAAATAGCACACAATATTCATAAAAATAAAATAGATAATGTAGATAAAGAATATAATATTGAAGATGCAAAAAATAGAACAATGAAAGAAGTTACTACCAAGCATTTAAATAAAAAAATAATAAGAAAATATTATGATAAAAGAGCTATTTTAGATTTTCCTATTGGAAGAAATCCTATACAAGCATTAATTGATTATAATGAGAAGCGTAATCAAATCGAATTCAAAAAAAATTTCTATACTTGTAAGATTTGTTTTGTGGACAAAATAGGAGAACATTGTACACAATTTTTACCTTGTGGTCATATATTTTGCAAAGATTGCATAACTGGTTATTTAGAAGTAAGAATTAAGGATGGAAATGTGCAAAATATTTATTGTCCAGAAGAAAAATGTACCTCTGAAGCAACTCCTGCTCTGGTAAATATTTCTATTTGTTTTCTTTTAAAAATAATAATAATTTTCTTTAAAAAAATAATAAATTTATTATTATTTAATTTATTATTTATTTAATATAATAAAAATCTTATTACTCTATTTATAGATAAAAGATTTAGTAAGTTCAGAATTATTTGCAAAATATGATTCTATATTACTAAATGCCACATTAGATACTATGGGCGATATAGTATATTGCCCGAGACGTAGCTGTCAATATCCAGTTAGTCGCGAACCAAATGAACAAATGGCAAATTGTCCAATTTGTCAATATGCATTTTGTGTTTATTGCAAAATGGTATATCATGGTATAGAACCATGCAAAGTTTATTCAGGTATATATAGATATATATATATATCTTATTAATTTAAATTAATTTTTAATATTATTAAAATATTATTTGTGGTATTTTATTTAATATTTTAAAAATCTATAAATTAATATCTTAATTTTGCCTTGTTGCAGCTGAAATACATAAAGTGATAGCTGAATATCAAGAAGCTTCCGATGATAAGAAATTACAAATGGAACAACGTTATGGAAAAAAACAACTTCAAACTTTGGTAGAAAATGCCATGTCTGAAAATTGGATTAAAAGTAATAGTCAGAAATGTCCTAAATGCCAAGCTGCCATTGAGGTATTTAAATTTGTGTATATATATATATATTTTTTATTATATATAGATATACATGTAAGTATTTATATATAATACACTAGTGCATGTTCTTTATTACAATTATTTTGCAGAAATCAGATGGTTGTAACAAAATGGTATGTTGGCGATGCAATACATTCTTCTGTTGGTTATGTGGTACTATTCTTGATCGTAAAAAGCCATATAAACATTTTCAAGATATGAATTCTAAGTGCTATAACATGTTATATTATGGAATGCTAATTCAAGATGATAATGCAGATATTCATAATTTTCCGCCTTATCCAATTTATGAATTAGAAGATGAAGACTTCTTTGAAGACATTGTAGCATAAAAATAAAATAAAACATTATCAAACACGTTCAAAAAATAGTAACCATTACCTGTTATTTTTTTTTTTTTTTTTTGGTGAATATTTTGAAGATTGAGGCAGTACATAAAATGTTAATTAAAACTACGTTTGTTTAATTCTTATTTATAAAAGTATTCATGTACAAAGAAACATATAATAAATGTATATAGCAGAGTTGGGTAAAACGTAATCCGATTAATGATTGAAAATTACAATTAATATAAAATCTAATTATTAATCGTGATTACTGATTATTAAATAATCAGTAATCATTGATTAATGAATAAGAAAAGAATAAGAAATTGTTGTAATTAATGTTCGTTATTGCTTTATTAATTAATCATGAAATGATTATATTTTTAATTATGATTTAATTTGTACTTTTGCTGTAATAACAACATTGTGAATATTTTTTTAAAAATATATATATTTTTTACATGGAAAATCCTTAGAATAAGTTATTTATTTTTAGTATAATTTGTTTTTAATATAATAATCTCGCATTTCAAACATTTTATTTAATAATTTATGTTTTTGGTACGTTTATCATTGTAGAATATGAAAATAATCTTTCAACAGGACTTGAAGATAGTAGTAGTATATAATATAAAATAAAAATTTTTTTTATTGAAGAATATTTATCTAAAATAATTAAATTTCATTGTTGTGTTCTACTATCACTTTATATACACGTGAAATGTGATATTTCTAATTCTGTCTTAGAAATACATAAATTTGTGGTTGAAGTCATTAAAATCTTTCAAGCTAATGATAAGCGAAAGATTACGATAATTATTGAACGATTTAAAAATTACTGATTAATGATTACAAATTATAGAAAGTAATCATACTAATTTATTTCAATGATGATTGATTGATTAATAATTACAGTTACTATGATTACATTAAATAATCGATTACAAAAAAATTAATTGTCCAATTCTGATATATAATATATGATATAATATATTTTTATTGTATTATATACAATAATCATATAAATATCGAATAAACTGGAAATTCCTCATAATCTTATAAAAATTTTGTATAAAATATAAATATGTATACTATAATATTTTATACTCTTGTGAGTAAAATTATATTCATTATAAATAATATAAACATATTAATAAAAAGGAAATTAATATCAATATAAAAGGTTTTTTGAAAATAAAGACTTATTGTTGCTCATGACAATCTGTCTCTTTATTACCAAAAAAAAAAAAAAAAATATATATATATATCAAAACAATCATAATACTCGAATTATTTAATATTCTTCGGCACCTTCTCCTTCACCTTCAGCGGAATCCATACCAACTTCTTCATAATCTTTTTCAAGAGCTGCAAGATCTTCACGTGCTTCAGAAAATTCACCTTCTTCCATACCTTCACCAACATACCAATGGACAAATGCACGTTTAGCATACATCAAATCGAATTTATGATCAAGACGAGCCCAAGCTTCCGCAATAGCGGTTGTGTTTGACAACATGCAAACAGCACGTTGTACTTTGGCAAGATCACCACCAGGTACCACAGTTGGAGGCTGGTAATTAATACCAACTTTAAATCCAGTTGGGCACCAATCAACAAATTGAATAGTACGTTTTGTTTTTATAGTGGCGATCGCTGCATTTACATCTTTGGGTACGACATCACCTCTATATAACATGCAACAGGCCATGTATTTTCCATGGCGAGGATCACATTTCACCATTTGGTTTGCTGGTTCAAAACACGCATTCGTAATCTCTGATACAGAGAGTTGTTCATGATATGCCTTCTCTGCAGAAATAACAGGTGCATAGGTTACCAAGGGGAAATGAATTCTGGGATAAGGTACTAAATTTGTCTGGAATTCAGTTAAATCAACGTTCAATGCACCGTCAAATCGCAAAGAAGCTGTAATGGAGGATACAATTTGGCCAATTAATCGATTTAAATTAGTATAAGTAGGTCTTTCAATATCTAAATTACGGCGACAAATATCATAAATGGCTTCATTGTCAACCATAAATGCGCAATCGGAATGTTCAAGAGTGGTATGTGTGGTGAGAATTGAATTATATGGTTCAACAACTGCAGTAGAAACTTGTGGAGCAGGATAAATAGCAAATTCCAACTTTGATTTCTTGCCATAGTCTACAGAAAGACGTTCCATCAAAAGAGAAGTGAAACCAGAACCAGTACCACCTCCAAAAGAATGAAAGATGAGGAAACCTTGAAGACCAGTACACTGGTCAGCCAATTTACGTATTCTATCTAATACAAGATCTACAATTTCTTTTCCAATTGTATAATGACCACGAGCATAATTGTTAGCTGCATCTTCTTTACCCGTAATCAATTGTTCTGGATGAAACAACTGACGATAAGTACCAGTACGTACTTCATCTAAAAAATTAAAATTGATTTAATGATAGATTTATATAATTAATTTTAAAATTAAAATTTAAATTCAATAAAATTAAAAAATATTAACCAACTACTGTGGGTTCCAAATCAATGAAAACTGCTCTAGGTACATGTTTTCCTGCACCAGTTTCACTAAAAAATGTATTGAAACTATCATCTCCTCCACCAATAGTTTTGTCAGATGGCATTTGTCCATCAGGTTGGATGCCATGTTCCAGACAATATAATTCCCAACACGCATTACCAATCTGGACACCAGCTTGTCCAACATGAACTGAGATACATTCACGCTAAAATAAAAATATAAAATATGTTAATTCATAATAAATTTTTAATAAATTTTTAATTAAATAAAGAAATCAAATATTAAATATTCTGTATTTAATAATTTTCATATTTAAAAATATTTAATTGAAAAAATAAATATTTAATTTTTTAAGTGAAAAAAATGTTATAATATTCAAAGTTTAATGAATTTAAACTGTTCAAATATTAAAAACGAATTACCATAAACTGCATAATTAAGAAAAAATTAAATTAAATTAAAAGAATATTTTAAATATATTAATAAAATACCAAATATATAAATAAAATATCAAAATTTAATCAATATTTAAAATATACCATGTAAAAAAATAATTAAAACGAAAAAAATATTAAAAATATATTATTTCAATATAAAACCGGAAGCCGGCCGGCATTTAACCGTTACAAAATGGCTGTCTTCTTCTTAGTAAGGAAATATTTTCTAATATTCTTTATTTTTAAAGTACCAAAAAAATAAAACTTACCATTTTGTAATGTAAAGAAAACTTTCAAAATTCTTAAAAAAGAAGTAAAAAAAATGGACGTAGGATGATAGATAGTTGGCTAAAGCAAGTAATGGAGCTTTCGCTAACAACTACGACACCTCCGTCCGAAAATCGTCAAACGAATGCATCGCCGGCCATTACAACGGCTATTTATACCCTCGGTAGGCAACTTCATCAGCGTACACTGATTGGTTGTTGATGATCTCATTCCTTTTCGTGATTGGTCTTTTTTTGACCGCAGAACTCATGACGATTTAACACAGTCCTTATATGGAAAATATAGTCCCATATTAACAATATAATTATTTATTTTATTGATATTAACAACATAATATTTATTTACTTTTGTACATTATATTAAAAATAAATAAAATTAATTTTTAATTAAAACACATTTGAGCAAAGTTGAAAAAATAAGTATGAGTTTTACACAAAAATGAATTTTATGCAGTTGCAATGCATAACTGTTTCTTCCATATTTGGATTATGCTTTCTGATTGGTGACTCATATATGTCCCCCTTATAACAAAATATAATCCAATAAAATTTTTATCGCCATATATCAAATTTGAGAGAATATTTGATCAAAGACTTTAAAAAATCATTGTTTTTTTTGTTATTTTATTTTATACATATATGATTTTATATTAAAAAAATAAAAAATTGACATATATATGTAAAATAATTTGTAAATTTATTAATTCTTTGATTATTTAACAATATATATTTTCATTTGATATTTGCCTAAAAAAAAAATTATTTAATTTATAAATTGATATGAAAAATTTCAAATTTATAAAGCATAAAATAATAAGTATAAACAATAGTTTTTTTATTAAATTCCATTCACTTATATATTTTTTAAAATTTTTTATATATATAAAATTTATAATTGTATTCTAATAAATATCCAATATATATTTAAATTACATTTAAATATTGTAATTGTAAAAAAATAAATAAAATGAATAAATTTTTAATATAATATTAATATATTATTATTAAAAA